AGTTGTTGAGTATATCAACAGTTTATAATTTGTTCTTTTTTTATTTCTGAAAATATTCTATGGTTATATGATATGAATGTGCCACAGTTTTATCAGTCACCCATTAAGGGACATTTGAATTATTACTTGTTTTCAGTTCTTATGGATACAACTGCTATGAACATTTGTAGACACATTTTGGTGTGAACATAATTTTTTTTATTTCTCTGGGACAAATGCCCAGGAGTGTAATTTTTGGGTTGTATAATACAACACTATAAGTGTATTGTAAGAAACAACTATAAATGCCCAAATCCAAAAGACAAATCACAAATAAACACTCTAATGAATTGTCTCAAAGAACTGGAAAAGGATGAGCAAACCAACCACAAACCCAGTAGAGGAAAAGAAATGACAAAGATCAGAGCAGAACTAAATTCAATTGATAACAAAAAAAACTATACAAAAGATTAATAAAACAAAAAAGATGGTTCTTTGAAAAAATAAACAAAATTGACACACCTATGGCTAGATTAAGGAGAACTAGAAAATAAAGGACTCTAACAAGCTCCATACAGAATGAAAAAGGAGAAATTACAACTGATGCCATTAAATACAAAATATCATCTATGAATATCATAAAAACCTCTATGCACATAAACTTGAAAATGTGGAAGAAATGGACAAATTCTTAGAAACACATAGCCTATCTATGATCAATCAGGAAGAAACAGAATTCCTGAACAGACTAATATCAAGTACTTAAATAGAAGCAACAATTAAAAAAAATCTTCCTAAAAATAAAAGTCCTAGACTAGATGGATTCACATCCAAATTTTACCAGACTTACAAAGAAGAGCTGTTGCCTATCTTGCAGAAATTATTCCACAACATTGAGAAGGAAGGATTCCTCCCTAACACATTTTATGAAGCCAACATCACCTTAATACCAAAACCAGGAAAGAACGCAGCAAACAAAGAAAACTACAGACCAATATCCCTTATGAATATAGATGCAAAAATTCTCAACAAAATCCTAGCAAACTGAATTCAGGTGTTAATCAAAAAAAAATAATCCATCATGACCAAGTGTGCCACATCCCAGAGATGCAGGGATGGTTCAACATATGCAAATCTAAAAATGTAATGCACCACATAGATAGAAGCAAAAACAAAGACCATATGATCCTCTCAATAGATGCAGTTTGAAAAAAATTCAGCACCCTTTTATGATAAGAATGCTTAAGAAAATAGGCATAGACAAGACTTACCTAAAAATGATACAAGCCATATGTGACAAATCCACAGCCACCATCATACTGAATGGGGAAAAATTGAAAGCATTCCCACTTAGAACTGGAACCAGACAAGGTTGCCTTCTTTCACTGTTTCTATTCAACATAGTGCTGGAGGTAATAGCCAGAGAAATCTGACAAGAGAAGCAACTCAAGGGGATCCAAATGGGCAAAAGAGGTCAAACTATCACTCTTTGCTGACAATATGATCTTATAGCTAGAAAACCCCAAAGATTCTGCCATGAGACTACTGGGATTGATAAATTCAGCAAAGACTCCATTTACAAAATCAGTGTACAGAAATAGGTAGCATTCTTATATGACAACAACAGCAAAAGTGAGAACCAAATAAAAGACTCAATACACTTCACAATAGCAGCAAAGAAAATAAAATACCTAGGAATATATTTAACTAAGGAGGTAAAATACCTCTACAGGGAGAACTATGAAACACTCAGGAAGGATATAGTAGAGGACGTAAATGGGTGGAAAAGCATACCATGATCATGGGTCAGCAGAATCAACATTGTTAAAATGTCTATACTACCCAAACTGATCTATAGATTCAATGCAATCCCTATTAAAATACCAACATAATTTTCACAGATCTAGAAAAAATAATTCTATGCTTCGCATGAAACCAGAGAAGACCACATATAGTAAAAGCAATCTTAAGCAAAAAGAACAAATTGGGAGGCATGAATTTACCAGAATTCAAGCTATAATACAAAGCTATAGTAATTAAAACAGCATTACACTGGCCCAAGAATAGAGACATAGACCAATGAAACAGAACTGGGAAGCCAGACATAAAACAATCCTCATATAGACATCTAATCTTTGACAAATCAGACAAAAACATACACTGGGGAAAAGAATCCTTATTCAGTAAATGGAGCTGGGAAAATTGGATAGCCACATGTAGAAGACTGAAACTGGATCCATACCTCTCAGCTGTCACAAAAATCAACTCATGGTGGATAACAGACACCTAAGGCATGAATCTATAAGAATTCTTGAAGGAAATCTTGGAAAAACTCTTATAGACATTGGCCTAGGGAAAGAATTTATGAAGACGACCCTGAAAGCAATCACAGCAACAACAAAAATAAATAAATGGGACCTGACCAAATTAAAAAGCTTCTGCACAGCCAAAGAACAGGCATGAAAGCAAACAGACAACCTACAGAATGGGAAAAAATATTTGTATTTTACACATCCAATAAAGGGCTGATAACTAGAATCTATGTAAACTCATGAAAATCCACAAAGAAAAATCAAACAATCCTATCAAAATGTGGGCAAAGGACATGAACAGAAACTTTTCAAAAGAAGATAGACTAATGGCCAAAAAACATATGAAAAAATGCTCAACATCTCTAATCATCAGGGAAATGCCAATCAAAACCACAATAAGATATCACTTATCTCCAGTGAGAATGGCCTTTATCAAAAAGTCTCAGATCAGTAATTGTTGGTGTGAATACAGAGATATAGGACACTCATACACTGATGGTGAGACTGCAAACTAGAACAACCTCTGGGGAAAGTAATAAGTGGATACTTCAAAGAGCTACAAGTAGAACTACCATTTGATCCAGCAATACCATTACTGGGCACCTACCTAAAATAACAAAAGACATTCCTAAAGTGACCCACAGAGTCAATCCCTATTAAAATACCATCATTATTTTTCACATCTATAGGAAAAAAATTTTATTCTTCATTTGGAACCACAGAAGACCCCGTATATCAAAATCAATCCTAGGGAATAAAAACAAAATGGGAGGTATCAATTTACCAGACTTCAAACTATACTACAAGGCTATAGTCATTAAAACATCTTGGGGCTGGCACAAGAACAGGGACATTGACCAGTGGAACAGAACCCAGATACAAAACCATTCTCATAAAGCGATCTAATCTTTGACAAGGCAGACAAAAACATATACTGGGAAAAAGAATCCTTATTCAATGAATGGTGCTGGGAAAATTGGATAGCCACATGTAGAAGACTGAAACAAGACCGACAGCTTTCACCTCTCACAAAAATAAACTCATGCTGGGTAACAGACTTGAATCTTAGGTGTGAAATTATTAGAATTCTAGAGGAAAATGTTGGAAATACTCTTCTAGATACTGGCCTAGGCAAAGAATTTATGAAGAAGACCCCAAAGGCAATCACAGCAGCAACAAAAATAAATAAATGGGACCCGATCAAACTGAAAAGCTTCTGCACAGCCAAAAAAACTGTCAAGAGAGCAAACAGACAACGCACAGAATGGGAGAAAATTTTCACAAGCTACATATCTAATAAAGGGCTGATAACTAGAATCTATTTAGAACTCAGGAAAACCAGCAAAGAAAAATCAAACAACCCTATCAAAAAGTGGGCAAACAACATGAACAGAAACTTTTCAAAACAAGACAGAATAATGGCCAACAAACATGAAAAGTTACTCAACATTTCTAATCATCAGGGAAATGCAAATCAAAATCAAAATGAGATATCACTTATCTCCAGTAAGAATGGCCTTTATTAACAAGTCCCAAAACAATAAATATTGGCATGGATGTGGAGAGATAGAAACACTCCTACATTGCTGGTGGGACTGCAAACTAGTTCAACCTCCATGGAAAGCATTGTTGAGATACCTTAAAGTGATACAAATAGATCTACCATTTGATCCAGCAACCTCATTACTGGGCATGTACCCAAAAGTACAAAAGTCACTCTGTGAAATAGACACTTGCACTCGAATGTTTACAGCAACATAACACACAATTGCAAATATGTGAAAACAAACAAAATGCCCATCAATACATGAGTGGATTAATAAAATATGGTATATGTATACCATGAAGTACTATTCAGCTATATGAAATAATGGTGATATAGCACCTCTTGTATTTCCCTGGATAGAGCTGGAACCCATTCTATTAAGTGAAGTATCCCAAGAATGGAAAAATAAGCACCACATGTACTCACCAGCAAATTGGTATTAACTGATCAACACCTAAGTGGACATATAGGAATAATATCTATTGGGTGTCGGGCAGGTGGGGGGGGAGGGAATGGGTATATACATACATAATGAGTGTGATGCACACCAACTGGGGGATGGACACACTTGAAGCTCTGACTCAAGAAGGTGGTGGGGGCAAGAAAAATATACATAACCTTAACATTTGTACCCTCATAATATGCTGGAAAAAATAAAAGAAAGAAAGAAAAAAAGACATTCTATAAAAAATACATCTGCACTAGAACGTTTATAGCAACAAAATTCACAATTGCAAAGATGTGGAAATAAGCCAAGTGCCCATCAACACATGAATGGATTAATAAAATGTGGTACATGTATACCATGGAGTTCTACTCAGCCACAAAAACAATGGAGATCTAGCACCTCTTGTATTAGATTGGATAGAGCTGGAACCCATTCTACTTAGTGAAGTAACACAAGAATGGAAAAACCAGCACATTATGTACTTACCATCAAATTTGTATTAACTGACCAACACTTAAGTGCACATATAATAATAAAATGCATTGTGTGTCAGGCAGATGGGAGCAAGGGGGAGGGGATGGGTATATACACATCTAATGGATGTGGTGAGAGCTATCTGAGGGATGGACATGCTTGAAGCTCTGGCACAGGTGCCCGAGACTTGGAAATAATATTTTTCTTAATTACCACATAGTAAATGTTTTTTTCTGCCAAGTGAAGAGTGTCTTTGCACTAAAGTATTTTTGTTTTGCACTAAAAATGTGTTGCACTAAGGATTTGTATTGGACTAAATGAAAATACTTAGTTGAAAAAGATGTGGGATCACTTTAAGGTAAAAGACTCATTGTTTAAAAATTAAATTTCCACTTTAAGGAGTGATGGAGAATCCTCTTTAACTGTCTTTAATTGAAGAAGATTAACAGAAGAATAGAAACAACTCTTCAAGCTAGAAGAATCCCTACAGGTCATTAAAGGGGCACTCCTACCTAATATTAATATTGACATTACAATAGATGGAAAAGACTGGGCTTGGGAGGACAAACACATAGGTTCTTTGAAATCAGAGCCATCTCTCATCAGCTCCCTGTCCATGGCCCAACATTATTATCGATAATTCTGTTTCACTTCTTACATAAAGACAAACCTGATCTATCCTGTGTTGCACTTCCTCTGTTTTGTACTAGGTCTCAAAATGTTTCATGCTAAATTGTTCATAGCTAATAAGGCCTTGATCTAATAGCACTTTCCTGCAGAATGTTCAAATGAAATATTGATTTAATTGCTCTTTTGAAATACAGATCTTTGGGACATTGTGTAGGACTGAAGCAGATGATTTGGTTTGATGCTCTTTTCAGTGCTCAGAGATTCAATAATCTACCTGTGGGTTAGTTCTGATTGGCCTATAGATGGACTAGGCCATGACTGATGTCCTGGATAGGTCTTTCCTATCATCCACCAGTTATTTGAATCCCTCAGTCTTAGAATGGACATTGAGCACACAGTCAATATGTATTAAACAGAAATGGCCTAAGTGAACATCTAAAAATATGATCTTGGCAACTTTGGTAATGTTGTGAATAATGTCAATCGTATATAAATTATAAAATTAACAATTTGATGACTCAGGAAGGGGGCAAAGGTAATTATGTAACCTAAACATTTGTATCCCCATAATATGCTGAAATAAAAAATAAAAAGAAACAAATTATAAAAATTACCTTGAATGTATCAGATTGACTTATTTTTTCACTATTGCATTCTAGAAAACATATTGGATTAAGGTTTTTTTCTTTTTCAGAACCTACCAATTTTGGGAGGGAGAGATGTGAACACTAGGAATCCAATTGCATGGCTGTGGTTGACAGCCCATCCCATAGTCTCTGTTGATTCCACCTCCAGGTGGGCATAACCTTGTGCAATCTCCTCCCCTGAGCATGAACTGGACCCAGTGAGTTACTCCTAACACACAGAACATAGCAAACATGACAAGATGTCACTTCAGAGATTAAGTTACAAGTTGGTGACTTCTGTCTTGGATACTATCTTGCTCTATTGCTCTCTCTGTCTGCAGGAAACCAACAGCTATGCTGTGGGCTTCCCTATAGAGGGGCCCACATGGCAAAGGACTGAGGGTGGTCTCAGCCAATAACCTGCAAGGAACTGAGCCCTCAACCAAACAACCTGGAAGGAACTAAATTCTTCCAACACTACTGAGAGAGTTAGGAAGTTAAACCTTACTTAATAAATCCTTTAGATGAGACTATAGTCTGAGCTGATACCTCGATGGTGGCCTTGTGAGGGACTCTGAGCTGGACAGTGCATCTAAACCATATCCAGATTCCTGGCACGCAAAGACTGTGAAATAATGGCTGTTTAAAGCCATTAAGTTTTGGGTTGATTCATTGTGCAGGAAGATAAAATATATGCACGAGATAAAATATATAGAACTATTAGTATAATCTCTTCTTCTAGAACTAAGGTAAGGACACAGTAGGTTCTGGTTGATACGAAAGTTAAGAACAAGTGTGGCAGTTAGCAATCTTTTTTGGCAGCTCTTTAAAAGCGTGTATATATTTTTTGATTCTTGATAGAAGCCCTGCTTATCTCAGTATGAAGCAAAATATGTTTATGATAGTATTGTAGAATTCAGGATTCATAGACAAAACCCAAGCACCATGGCAAATTATTGCTTTGGCATATAAATGAAGAACTGATGGGCACTGGAGAACATATTGTAATTTGGGTATCATTAAATTCATTACAAATGCTGTTTTCCTTCAATTGTACTTAGAGAGGGGCATATTTAACTCCCAAGAAAAAGCTGGACAATCATGAGGTTAATACATTCTGTGAAGGCCAGTCATTTCTCTACTATCCTGGAGTCTCAGGATGAAAAGGTACTATGAGAAGTCATAGAGGATGTAATAGATTTTGGGAGCAGTGTAAATAGTGATGCTATGTTGGGAAAAAGTAGATTAGAGTGAGGATGGAAATTTAAATATATATTCAAGTACAAAAAGACATTAAAATGTTTTGAGAAAGGTTGTGTATTGAATAGAACTGATCCGTCAGAGAAAAATAATCAGACATGGTGCACACTACAGAATAGGTGAAAAGGAGATGAAGATAATTTATTAGAAGGCTATTGAAATAGCTCAAGACAAGGAAATGGAACATGCATTACTTGTAACTTCTTTAGTCTAAAGAAGAGCAATGATTTCAAAGAACGTTTTAATCTACTGAACTGAGAAGGCAGGAGGAGACAATTCTAAACCATTACTAACATATTTGAAGTTTCATGAGAAAAGCCTGTAATTCCTTTACTCAGGTCATACTGGGATTTGAAATTTAGACTGAAGTATCTCTAGCTTCCCCACAATCAATTTCAATTTTGCTAAGCTTCGAGGAGATGGGAATTCAACGAGGGGGGATAATCCTGCTGAGAATAAAGTAGAAACCAACTACAGAATTTAAGGTTGCTTTTCTGAATGTTTGCAGAGTCAGCCAGTGTGTAAGTGCTGTGGTCTAGCCGGCTGCTCAGACACTGCATGGAGGCCCAAAGGTACATCAAGAAATAAGGCACTGAAGAGGCTGAGAGAATCTCTGTTGTAGCCACTGATATAATCTCAGCTCCTCTGCTCCCTGAGGCACGGCAGCCTGCTTCTCCCTTGATGCATGCGCATACATGATGCAGGCCTCTGGCCCAGGGAGCCTCCCCGCTGGTGCACTCTTACCACTAGGGCAACTGGATATAGGTGCATCCCAAAGAGCTCAGTCAGCCCCACCAGAATTTACCTGTGGTCTCTTGTGCTTGCTTTGATGAAATGATTGGACAAAGGCAGTGTAAACTTAGCTAAGCCAAAGATGTAATTGTTCATACTGTGTCCTTATTGGAACCACCAGAGAATGATCAGATTTAAGAGTTAAGCATCTGTAACTCTTTGTACCTTAAAAACCATTTGAGTCATATGAATGATGATATTTCCCACTTACATTAACTGCTAAATGCTAGATTTGCATTCTCAGCTCTAGCAAATCATCTAGGATCTCAGTGGGATATATTTTTTTGTAATTTTTCTTTTACCTTTTTTTCTGTTTTTAGCTTACTTTCCCTATTCTTATTTCCCCTTTTCCTATGACTTTTCTGCTTTAATTTTTTTCTGAATTTCAGGTCTTTGTTGAAATGAACTGGTGACACAAAATCATATTTATAGAAAAAAGAAGCCTCTCAACTTATTGAGCTAAGTCATCCTTTATTTTGATGAGAACCGAGACAACTGCAGAACTGCGGTCTGACTGCAGGCCTCAAAATGTCATGGGAAGCTGGAGAACACTGATTTCCACTCTTCATTCTTATTTTCAAAATAAAGGAAGCAGCACTAGCATTTTGTATTTGTGGTCCACAGAGTTTGAAAGTTAAAACATCTCTGCGTGGATGTTGCTATGAAGGTATTTTTAGATGAGATGAACATCTAAGTCTATAGACTTTGAGTAAAGCAAATTGCTTTCTGTGCTGTGGGTGGGCCTCATTTAATAAGTAAAGACCTTAAGAGAAAACTGACTTGGATTCCCTGGGAAAGAGGGAATTCTGCCTGCAGACTGTCTTCAGACTCAAGCGGCAACTCTTCTCTGGGTCTCCAGGCTGCTGGTTTGCCCTGAACCTTTTGGACTTGCCAGCCTCTACAATCACATGAATCAATTCTTTATATAAATCTCTCTCTCTCTCTGTCTCTCTCTCTCTGTCTCTCTGTCTCTGTCTCTGTCTCTGTCTCTCTCTCTCTCTCTCTCTCTCTCTGTGTGTGTGTGTGTGTGTGTGTGTGTGTGTGTAACCGTATTTAGATCCTGCTCCAAACAAACTTTGTAAAAATTATATTACACAAGACTCATGGGAATATAAATACAGGCTTGAAATCTGATGACATTGAGATGCCATTAACTGTTTCAGTGATGTGTTTATATTCTTTTAAAAAAGGAATATCTACCTTTTAGAGATTCCTAATGAAGTATCTAAAAGTGAAATGGTATGATATCTAGGATTTGCTTCCAAAATAATCCAAAGGTAAAAAAATAGGCCAAGAATGGAGGCTCATGTCTGTAAGCCCAGCACTTTGTGCAGATGAGGCAGGATTGTCTGAATCCAGAAATGCTTGGGAAACACACAGTAATACCCCATCTCTAATTTAAAAACAAAAAAAAATACCCCCCAACTAATCCAGTAATGCTGGGAGGAAGAGAAAGTAGATGCAGGTGAAACACAGCTGTCCCTGAATTGATAATTGTTGACAATAGGTCATGGGTAAATGGAAATTAATTTTAATATTATCTCTGCTTCTGGATATGTATAATACTTTATATAATGAAAAAGTAAACAAAGTCAATATTTTCTTTTATAATTAATGTGCTGAGGGTCCTCTGAAAAGAAGATTCCTGCTATCATGAAAATATTCTTCTGTATTATCTTTTTAAAAGTTTATCATTCTTCTTTTACCTTTATATCTAAATTAGTCTACAATAGATTTTGTGTATGGAGTGAGGTGCAGGTCAAATGCTGTTTTTATGTATATACTTCCAATTGACAAGCACCATATATTGAAAAGATGACCTTCCTCACTGCCCTCCCATTACCTGTCACAGACCAGTACCCATCCATAGGTGAGTGTGTCCTGGGCCCTCCAGTCCATCCTGTGTTCACCTAAGCATCAATCCTGGATAACAATGTGCCAGTTACTATAGCTTTAAAAATGTCTCCATCTCCCATTAAACAAATCCTCACATTTTGTTGATCTTTTAGAAAATGGTCTTATCTACTCTTGGCCCTTTTTGTTTTTAAATGAAATTTAGGGTCAGATTCTCAAGTCCTACCAAAAAACCCTATTGAGATTAAACTGAATCAGTAAGTAAATCTGGAAAAAATAGACATTTTTACAATATTGACACAACATATCCCTCCATTTATTTACATATTTTACAGTTTATTTCAATGATTTCTTATGGAGGTCAGGCATATTTTTTTGGCAGATTTATTCCTGAGTGTTTGATATTGATTTTAAGTGGGAAAATATACAATCTCACTAGTATTTATTGTGTTATATAGATTTTTCTATTTCTTATTGTGGAAGTTTTGTAGGCTTCATTTTTCTAGCAATTTTTGTTTTTCATCTGCATTTTCTAACATAAGATCTAAAGCTGTATATAATATCATCTTACTACTTTAATGTTTTTAAAAACTGTGATTCTCATTTTTTAATTTCTGTCATTGGTTATTTGTGTTCTTGTACCTTTAGTTTTTAATTATGCTCACTAGGATTTATCAATTTCAATAGTGATATGATTAGTTTTATTCATTCTTATATATTTGGTAGAATTTACTGGTAGACAGCTGGGCATGGTGGCTCATGCCTGTAATTCTAGCACCCTGCAAGGCTGACTCGGGTAGATTGCTTGAGGTCAGAAGTTCGAAACCAGCCTGAGCAAGAGTGAGACCCTGTCTCTACTATAAATAGAAAGAAATTAATTGGACAACTAGTATATATAGAAAAAATTAGCCAGGCATGGTGGCGCATGCCTGTAGTCCCAGCTACTTGGGAGGCTGAGGCAGAAGGATTGCTTGAGCCCAGGAGTTTGAGGTTGCTGTGAGCTAGGCTGACGCCATGGCACTCACTCTAGCCTGGGCAACAAAGTGAGACTCTGTCTCAAAAATCAATCAATAAATAAATAAAATAAAAATTAATTAACTTAATCTACTTTCTTCTTTCTCTCTCCCTGCTCTATCCATGTTTAGTTTCATTATTTTTAATTTGCACATTAGTAACCCACTGTTGTCATAATTTCATTTTAATCTTAGAGCTATGATATGTTTAAATACTTGTATTCTCATTTTAATGAAGATTTCCCAGTAATCTCATTTGGATTAAACTAATGCTATGGTTTTTTCAAGCAATGCTGGTAAGTAAATGATT